ATCTTATAAATTTCCTGCAAACCACTATCACAGAACTCATCAAACTGTACTAGACTGTACTTCGCCATAACCGTAGCAACAAAATTAAGTCCCGAGATCTAAAAGAACTTTCAGAGTCAGATAACTTAACTTTTTAACATTCATTAGCAGCGACGTGTACTCTCACAAAGGGGGTATCAAACACGTTATGGGCTTGGTAAAAAGGGCTAATATTTAGTGGCTCAAGTGTTTCGGGTTCTCAAACAGTGTAAAACGGATGCATGTCATTATGCGAAATCACAGTGAGACACAGACCAACTAGGAGGTACATAGCTTCCCTTAAGCTCGGATCAAATCAACCAACACACTACCCCCAATCAAATCAATGTGTACCCTTGATGCTTATCAATATACCCAATAATAACTCGACATTTCCGGTTCCGATTACTCTCCTTTCCCGTTTATTCTTTGTATTTCCGTTTTTTTTTTTTTTTTTTTTTATTTTACGGGGGAGTGGAACCGGTGTCTCACAAAATCTGCACCAAGAGAAACCACAAACGACAACAACATATCCCATGAATACAACTTCCAAACCATAGTGGCTCAATCTCATCACATATCAACATCCAGTAAACTACAACTCACTATCCTAACGAAAGGAAAGCTATGTCGGTCCGTATACTCCGTAGTTTTCGCACATGGATGCATATCATGATGATTATATAAGAATGCATGAGGTTTCAAACAATGTGTTTGGGAAACAAGTGCGGTACTAGACTAAAAATGAGTCTAGCCATTCAGAGTTAGCAAAGAGTGGTAAAAATGATGCAAACAAAACTCTGAATGTATGATCCATTACATGATTCTCAAGCCCCTAAGTGAGATAAATTAAGTCCAGATTAAGTTCAAGTATATAAGATTAAGATCAAATCATCCAAATTTCAAAGAGATAGGGACTACTATAGAGTGATCAAGTGATGGATTTTCTTGAACTTCCAAGTTATCAGCGAGTAAAGCTAAAATGGTCCCAAGGCAATGATATCAAACATGGTGCAATTCCCTAAGAAAAGATCATAGTTCTCAGACAACATTTTGACTCAATAAAAGACACGATTTTGACTCGATAAAACAGACTCGATGACTCAAAAGAAAAACATCAAAACGACTCAAGGAAACATCAAAAATGCAAACTAGATTAGTAGACAAGTGGCAGCCTCCCCCCGACTTGCTTCACACCGACTCGTGTGAAAACAATTCGAAAAGAAGATGCCAGACACACTCAAAAGAAATAAAAAAGAAATGAAAATGCGAAAAGGAGAAAGAGAAAACTTACTTGGGATACATGGTGGGTTGCCTCCCACAAAGCGCTTGTTTTAGGTCGTAAGCTTGACCGCTCAACACAAAATATTAATCATAAGAATCAAAAGGTTGAGCCAATGGACCTTTGATCCTTCTCCTGCTACCGCACAAAATAATATGCACAAAGTAACACACAATTGTTTTTGATAAAAAGACAAAATAACCATCAACCAAATTTACTACAAATGTGGCATGTATCTTGAAATATTCTAAAATGGTTAAATGCTCATGAGGATCAAATGCATTTGGAGGAAAAATAAAGTCAATTTCTGGTTTAAACGAAGTTTTAACAAAATAATCAACTTCATCTCCATTAATCTCATATAGCACAATATCTCCATCCATATAATCAACCTCAGGATCTTCATTCTCATGCAAAATCTTATCAATATCAAGCACAACTCCTAGTAAAGATTCATCAAGAAGAGATCTAGATATTTCAGGCATTGAAAACCTAAACTCGAGATCATGAACATTCAAAGCACAATGATATTCAATATCAAAACATATTTCATGGTAATCCCTAGCAAGTTTTGCTGCTCTTAAAGTATCTAGTCGTTGAGACTCACATATCAAATCATAACATTCATCAATGATCATGGAAGTATGCAAACTAGAAGTCACATCTTCAATGCATGACAACTGAATATCCTCAACATCATGAATTTCAAGGGTTGAAACGCATGTACCTTCTAATTCGCTTGGTGGAACCCAATATATTACCTTTTCAAGCGCACGAGCTTCTTGTTCTTCATAGAATGTGACTTCTCTTCCTTCACATGCTGCCCGGTGTGATAAGAGATTACACCGGATCAAGATCGCTAAATCACTCCTAACAAATGTCGGATGTTCGTTGTGAAGTTCATCTAACTTCACTTTTTGTTCCGGTGTAAGAACACTCTCATCAAATGGTGGCTCCGCATATGGTTCATCATCTTCTTCTTGCGGCCAATCATTGTATTCCATGGCATCAAAAAAAAAAAAAAAAACAAATGAAAGTTAGTAATAAATAAAAATGCTCTAGACTAAAAACTAATCCTAAATCCTTAGGTAACGCAATTGGTCCCCGGCAACGGCGCCAACTTGATTGCTCGAGTAATTACCCGAAATATCTAACCGTTAAGTAGTATATTCGAGGTCGATCCACAAGGACCAAAGATACTCTAAGGACTTCCGAGACTCGTTCTTAGCTAAAACTAAAAGGTTGTTTTGTTTTGGGTTTTCAGAATTGTAAATAAAAATGCAATTAAAATAGACGATTAAACTTATGAATTAAAGACATTGGGCATTAGGGTATTTCAGAGATCAACGAATAATGGAAACATGAGACAAGGAATTCAATGATTAAGCACCGTTCTTGAACATGAACACATTTAGACTAATTCTCTTTCAAGACATTAATCACTAAATTTGACTACTCGATTACTAAACTTTCGCATGTAATTTCCTAGTCAAATTCGCATTATCAAACAAGTTCATTAAGTTCACAATGCGTCCTAACGTCAACTTTCGTTGGCTAGAAATACATTGCTCAATTCACATTCTTTCAGGCATTCTATCGAACACTTTTGATGCATAGAAAAACCTAGAATCTACAACAGGGTGATCAATCCTATTCTAGCATTAAGAACATGTGAATCAAAGAACCTAGAGAATGAGAATTCCAAACAACAATCAATCCATCAATCCATTGAATCCCCTAATTAGAACCCTAAAACCCAATAGGAGAACTACTCACACATAGAAAAAGAGATAACAAAAATCAATGAAGAAAACATGATGAAATTGTAGAAATAACAAGATAGAGTTTAGAAATCTTCTCCAAGTGTCAAGAGGATGGATTCTTCTCCCAAAGTTGCTTACAAACCAAAGAACAGAGTTTAGAACTGAAAAATATCAAGGTTGATGTCTCAAAGTCGAGCCTAGGGTTTTAAAACAATAGGAGACGAGTCGGATCGGATATGGAGTGAATTGGGTCAAATTTGGGCCGAAAAACTCGTCTGGAGAGGGGATCGATCGATCCCAATGAGGATCGATCGATCTAGAGTGTCTGGAACTCAGTCTTGCTCGTCAGAGGTGTGGATCGATCGATCCACAAAGGGATCGATCGATCTAGAGCTTCTGGTGTCCAGTTCTGCAACTGCTTCAAATGCTCGCCAGAATGACCTGTCTTCACTAATTCGGGTATAACTCTTAAACGCACCGTTAGATTTCCTTCAAACCACTTGGAAACTCAAGATAACATCTTCATATAGCTTGTATCAAAAATTCAGAAAGATCCAACGGTGGGAAGTATTCCATCTGAGACCAAACGTCTGACACTTCTATACGAAACTGCATCTCCAAAAGTGTGTTTATAACCCAAAACAGCTCGTTTTCCTCCAAAGCAACCTAAAACCTGTAGAGACTCGATAAAGGACTAAAAGACTCTAAAAACACACTTTGACTCTATAAAAAATATGATGTAGGAAAGAAAACAAAGACTCAAAACCGATAAAAACACAACATATCAATCTTTTTAAACAAAATTACTATTATCTTAAATTCTTACTTTTGGTATATATTATTTTGTAATTAACTTCTTACTTAACTTTTAGTAGTTTAAAGAATGAAAAGAAAAAACAGAGGAGTGACATCAAGAGCCAAGTGCAAAATTATACACAATGGAACGTGTTGTAAATCAAGAGAAGACTCATAGGAAAAATCAAAGGAGAAGAGTGATACTAAGACGGTTCATGACTAGAAGAATGGCAACCCATAACGAAGAAAGGAATATCATCGACGATGAATTAAGAAGAGAAGATTAAGTAGTTTAGAAGTCCAAAGAGGTTGCTATAAAATAATGAAGAAGATTATAGAAGTCACCACCATCAAGACAAAATTGAACCGTTGCCCTAATAAGACGAAGAAGAAGCTAAAAGGAAGTGGTACAAGCATGGTGTACGAGCAGAAGTATCCAGAGGATATGTTGTCAACATTTCAAAAAAGTTCTAGACAACAACGTAAAAGCAAAATTCGAGGACGGATTTTATTAAGGGGAGGAGGATGTAATACCCCTCACCAAGACTAAGACTTGTCCGACGAATAGCTATCGAAGAAAAATTTAAGATGGTCGATGAAAAAAATCAAAAATTGACAATGCACATCAGTTCCGGGAAAAACGGTATGGTACCGGACTAACACACATCGAATTCAGATGCAATCATAATCTGTTTGGTCGTCGGAGAGAATGCATGGTCATGAGGCGAACATGTCATTAAGGTGCTTAAAGGGAAGTTGCTGTGTAAGCTAGTTGTGAGATTTTGTGGTTGAGAAATAGCCGTGTCGTCGAGCAGCTTGAACAGCCTCCAGAATATGTGGACAAGAAGTGGTTGTGTCGTTGAGCTGCTTGTGGGGAAAGCTGCTTTGTAACCTACTTAACTGAACAAATGGTCCGTGATGCGCCACCCGAACCACCTCGCCACCTCGCCACCACATGTCGCCACCGGAGAGCGCTTGGTGTCACGGCAGACACATGTCTGTCCAACAGTTCAACACCGTAGCCTACCGTGTCGCGACCGAGACCATACGATTTTTCAACCTACGTGTTCCACCTTCCACCACAAGGTAAACCGACCTGAGGAAACTATAAATACCCTCTCTCGCCATTAGTTCTCATTCACAACAAAAACCGAGAAAATTTCTTCGAGAGTCCGTGAGTGAGTTGTCGAGTGTCGGGTGAAGAGCTTCCAAGTAATGTCGAGGCTTTGCCGGGTAGAGTAGTTAGGCGTCGGAGATTGAGTAAATTTCAGAGAGAGTCATCGAGCTAAGGTAAGTTTCCGAAGCATGTGTAGTAGCACACGTCTACGTTTTATTTTTTGTAAGTTCTTGGTCGTGTGAAGTAGAACACGATTAGGTGGTTAGTTTATTTAATTTTTTTACTTATTGATGAAGTTTATTAATTAATTTGATCCTCGGTTATACGATAAGTTGTGTGATCGGGTTATCATGATAAATTTTGCTTGTGTTGATGCTTGATTGGTTATGATTGCTTTGTATTGCAAAGGGGTTAGGTTAGCCTATTGTTTTGTATTGCTTTATACCACTTTGTATCGCAAAGTGGTGATGATTGCTTTGTATTGCTTTGTTCACAGATTACTCGGAGGACGAGGAAGAGCGTGTGGAGACGCCTATTCATGTCATTGACTTGGAGGAGTATGAGATGGTTGAGTTAGAGGCTGAGCCGGAGATGACTATGTGGGAGGATTATCGTATCCTTCCCGATAGTCCGGTTTAGACCCTTCCTGGATTTGGATCTGTGATTTCTCCGATTGTGATTGTGTTGCCAGATGATGATCAAGTTGTCTCTAGTGATCTGGTGCGTTCGTCTTCGGTTCCAGCTTTTACCTATTCGACCCTTCCAGATTCTCTGCTTACCTCACTTTAGAGGGAGTATGACGTTATCAGACAAGGTGATACCCTGAGACGTGAGACGGAGGTGCCTTTGGCTCCATCTCCCGTGTAGTGGGAGCCGTTTTGCTACATTTGCCGGGAGATGGGTCATTACACGAGGGAGTGCTGTTTCTACCATCCATATAGAGATTCGGCCAACAGATGCTTGACTTCTGATGAGACTGGGCATTATGTCAGTTTGTGTACGACAGTTAGAGTTGGACCTTCCGAGGAAGCATCTCAAGTGTTTACCTCTGCACCGACTACTGCCTCTACCACAACTGTGTTTGTGGACTACTGGTCTAGGCCAGGATGTCTGTGTATTATGTTTAGATATATGTATGGTTGTGACTCGTAACGGGTCCACGACGAAGGTATGTAGGGTTTTAACCCTTTCTTTTGTAGTATAGTAGGATTTAGAAGCCTAGTTTGACGAATAAAACCCTTCTCCCACTTATGTAACCTTAGTATGTTTTGTAGTTGTATACTTAAAATTGATGATGTATGTATAACATAAAACCTTAGTCTTGTTATACATACATCATCAGTTTTAAGTATACAACTACAAACCATCCTAAGGTTACATAAGTGAGCGAAGGTTTTTAATCGTCAAACTAGGCTTCTAAAGCCGACTATACTACAAAAGATAGGGTTAGATCCCTACATACCTTCGCCCTAGACCTGTTACGGGTCAACCATACCTATATCTAAACATAATACACGAACATCCTGGTCTGGACCACTAGTCCTTAAACACAGTAGTGGTAGAGGCAATAGTCGGTGCAGAGGTAAACACTTGAGATGCTTCCTCGGAAGGTCCAGCTCTAACTGTCGGAAACGAACTGGCATAATGCCCAGTCCCGTCACCATTCAAGCATTTGATGGCCGGATCTCTTATGGACGATAGAAACGGCATTCCCTCGGGTAACGACCCATTTCGCTGCAAGTGTAGCAAAATGGCTTCCACTGCACGGGAGCTGGAGCCAAAGGCACCTCCGTCTCAGGCCTCATGATATCACCCTGTCTGATAATGTCATACTCCCTCTTAAATAACGTAAGCGGAGAATCCGGAAGGGTCAGATATGTAAAAGCTGGAACCAACGGCGACACCACAAGATCACTCGAGACAACTTGATCATCATCAGTGAACACAATCAGAGAAATCACATATCCGAATCCAGGAAAGGTCTAAACCAGACTATCAGGAAGGATAAGGTAATCTTCCCACATAGTCATCTTCGCTCAGCCTCTGAATCAACCATCTCATACTCTTCCAATTCAATGACAGGAATAGGCGTCTCCACACGCTCTTCCTCGTCCTCCGAGTAATATGTGAACGAAGCAATCACACCATCATCCTATCCTGGATCCATCTCAATCTCAGGAACACCCGGTTAAGTCAGAGAGACTTCAAGAACATGCACTGGGACACTCAGCCCCGCCTCCGCATCCCACCTAAACAACTCCAAGGAACTCGTCTCTTCAATGTGTCAGTACTGGAACCTGTCCAACGATGGACTAACAATCTGCGAGTGAAATCTGACGAGACACTATTATTAAGAAATGTTTTGAAATATTATTTTATGTCTAGCGAACTTTGTAATTTTCTTTGATTCTCACAAATATATCTTTAATCATTTTTTATTCATGAACTTTTTTTGATGTAAGAACAATTAATTTTTGCTATGTTCCACCTAAAATATTGTATGAAAAGTAATAACAAGTTTAATTCTTATGAAAGATAAATCATTTTTTCTTTTCTAAAATATAATCTCATATTGTAGTGTAGGTTTATAATGTATTTGTATGAATAGTAATTTCGTTTTTCAATTTTGTTATTACGTTGTAGTTGTTCTAGAATTACCAAAATATAAAGTTTGCTAATAATTGTTTAAAAGCAAAAAAAAATAATAAAATATAAGCAAAACAAAAATAAATTACAAGTAAAACATAGGTAAATTTTCACTATCTCAATTTTTTTAAGTGGGAGACTCACAAAAATGCCCCTTTTTCAATACCCCTTTTCAAAAATGCCCCATTTGGCTGTCCATTTTTAAAAATACTCCTTTTTATGTACAAAATGACTAAATTACCCTTCTTTTAATAAAAGATATCACAAATATATAAGGAAATATAACAAAATTAGGTCTACAAAATACAAAATATTTTTTGGCGAGAAAAGTGATCCCGCAATTTTTTCCGCCAAAACACTTGTAAAAACTTGTAAAACCTTTAAAATACCTTGTAAAATTTTCCCGTAAAATTTTTTCCCGCCAAAAAAATTTTTTTGCAGGAAAAGTGATTCCGCAATTTTTTTGGCGTTAAATTTTTGGCGGGAAAATTTTTTGCGGGAAAAATTTACAAGGTTTTTTACAGGGTATTTATAAGGTTTTACAATGTATTTTAAATGGTTTTACAACGTATATATAAGGTATTTATAAGATATTATAAGATTTTACAAGCTATTTTATAAGGTTTTACAAGTTATAAGGTTTTACAAGTTTTTTATAAGGTTTTACAAGTTATAAATACCTTATAAAACCTTATAAGTACCTTGTAAAACCTTTTAAAATACATTGTAAAACCTTACAAAACACTTGTAAATACTCTGTAAAACCTTTAAAATACCTTGTAAATTTTTCCCGCCAAAAATTTTCCCGCCAAAAAAATTTCACTAAAAAAATTGCGGAATCACTTTTTCCGCAAAAAAAAATTTTTGGCGGGAAAAATTTTTCCTGCGAAAAATTTTTACGGGAAAATTTTACAAGGTATTTTAAAGGTTTTTACAAGTGTTTTGGCGGGAAAATTGCGGGATCACTTTTCCCGCCAAAAAATATTTTGTATTTTGTGGACCTAATTTTGTTTCAAATAAAGGTAAAATGGTCATTAAAAATTAAAAGAGGGCAAACTTAAAAATGGACTCTCAAAGGGGGCATTTTTGAAAAGGGGTATTGAAAAAGGGGCATTTTTAACAATTTTTCTTTTTTTAATCCAATCTCAATGCAATTTTATATATTCTTTAGTTATATTATTTATTAATTTGTTATGATTATGCTTTATATTTTTTGTATTTTTTATTAAAACTATTTAAGTTAATTGGGTAATTTAATTTTGGTTTTTAGTGGAATTTATTCTTTTCATGATGTATATACCTTAAATAAAATGAGAAAAACTCTCTTATTATATATATGATCCGAGAATTCAATTTGGTTCAATTTCTGTTTCGGAATTATAACAACAAATATAATGAAACACTAGAATGAGAAGACAAATAAGCATTTCTAAATAGAATATATTGAAAAAAAGATATTAAGAAAATAAAATCCTACACAAGCTCTTCTTTTACAATCGCAAGATGTTGGAAAGCTTTATCGTCATTTTTTTCACCGTTGTTGACTGAATCCTCTTGTTTAGACTTTTGAGACTCACCATGAATTTTGTGATTTAGTTTACAATATTTTCTTTTGTTCTTTGCACGAAGTCTCTGTTCTCTTTCTTCGCTCGTTTCATTCTTGTAGTGAGATGACATATGTGCAGCAAATTTTTGAGAAGTATCGAATACGCCATTGCACTTGGGACATGTATATGGACCATATTTTTCATATGGTAGACTATGTGTCCGACCATCATACTGATCATCGTTACTTTTCTCATTTTCTTGAAACTCAATATAATCAGTACTTGTTCCGAAAAAGCTGGTTGGTTTCAAGATTTTCTTCAAAAAAGGACCATCTTGGGGAACACGTTGGTTGTAGTTGTGTTTTGATGACAAGGAAAACATGTTTAATTGTTGAGAATATGCAGAATCTTGACGCGGAACAATGACATTAAGAGGTTTAGGATTCAAAAGTTCACACCGTTTATCAAAAATATTTGGGGGAAAAAATTTAGGATTCCAAATATTAGTTTTGGCATACATGGCACGTTTGCCACGTTGAATATCATATTGTACAGTGTCAAGTGTATTAGTAGGAACAATAGCGGTATACCTATTGGTAATGCTTTGTGTGAAAGAAACTCTAGTAAAATGAGGATTATTTTTGATAGGAAAATAATTGTCACCAGAAATTATGTTTCTCCTCGTCATTTGATTTTTCACATGTGAATTATTAAATCCAAATGAAGATGAAGAAACATGTAAATTTTGAAAACAAGTTAAAGAAGGAGATGAGGAAAACAAATCACCATGGTTTGTGTGATCCGAGGTAATGAACATCGATTGAACCATTTTGGAATTTTGATTCATTTGGATGGAGGAAAAACCACGATTGTTAGTATCATCACAATGAAGATTGAACTTATTTGGAATAGAAGACATTTCAAAAGATCAGATAGGTAGAGTATATTTTATATTGTTTGGCTTACCCTTTTATATAAAATCTAGATTAAACAATAAAGATATTAACGTCAAAAACGGAAACTAATCTTTAAACCGAAAGGAAAAAAATCTACTTTATGTTATGAATTTTGATATTATATTAAATATTTATAAATAAAAAATCTATAATTATTCATTTATTTCCCTGGAAACACCTTTATTTATTTGGTAATATATGGATGCAATATAAAATTTGATTTCCAGACATATACCTGGATTCGGTAATTGAAATTATGGACATTATCAAAATTTAATCTTTATGTTAACATTTAGGGTAATTTACTTTAGGAAATATATATTCATATAGAGCATTTGTTGATGTTGTGTCATCTATCTTAATTTTGTTTGGTGATATTATTTAGTTCTATAAGTTTATTCACTAATTATTATTAAATAAATATTTATAGTTTCTTTTCTGGAGTGATTTGCAATAATATCTTATCTTATAAAAGCTTTTATCGAAAATCTTATCTTGTAAGTTATAACTCGGTAAGTAATCATATATATAATAGATTAAAGAATTATTTGGGGATGACACTTCATCATTTGAAAGCAAATAAAAAATTTAACATGTGTTCAACTATTAATGTATATTAAAGCTATTAAAGTTTGAATTTAACTATGTTAAAAGTCACTAAAGTAGAAGCATAAAATAAACGAAACTCTAATTTAATTCAGAAACAACATATATAAACGTTTAAATATTAAAAAATTAAGATTTTAAGTGTGTCTTTTCATTGTTTTCCAGGTGATTTAATTGTCGTCTTCAAACTAAAGAAGATAATTTAATCTCAATGAAAGTCATGAAAAAAAAGTAAGCTATAAGACCAAAAATAAAAACAATAGGTTTAGAAAGTTTTCAAGAACTAAAGAAGAAAAGTCAGAACTAGAAAATCATAAGACACAAAAATAACATTCAATAAATAATTAAAGAGATTGCAAATTATCAAAAATAGAAAAAAATGACAAAAAGCAGAACAAAATACAAAAACAAAAATTATAAGAAAATTTAAAGACGTGAAAGATAGATGGTATCAATGAAAGATATGTGGAAAAAAAAACTGAAAATGGTAAATTGAGAAAGTTCAAAATTTTACAACATCAAAATAATTTGGATGAACTAGAGTATGAAAAACTAGTAAATATTTGAATAAACAATAGATGGAAGAGATACTAGGATCATTAAAAAAATAATTTTTTTTTATTAAAATGCAAGAGAGATTGGTAGTAGAATTGAAGATCTAAATATATATTTATTAACAATACAAATTTTTTTTTAAAAAAACGCAAGTATCGCGGTTTTCCCCTAATTAAGTTAAAACTTGTTTTAAAATGGATGAATGACTCAATCTTATGAGATAATTTTCTTTCATTTATCACATAATTTCTAGAGGGGCACTTATTCCTATAATATTGACTGCATTCTCTAGTTTGATATTTTTCCAGGGTCCCATAAAAAAGGTCCATTACTTGAGATTAGGTGACTTAATGGGAGCTCTTTGTTGGTTATGTTTGTAGTTAAAGGCCGAGGCGGATGGGAGTTAATGATGTTATTGATTCCCATTCGAATTGTCTTTCCGTTGCCCACATTGTAGCGGGTATCTTTCTTAAGAAGTTCAACACCTGGTAATAAGGATGACCAACCATATCACTGGTAATGACGTTTCTTGGCGTCCAAAATTGAGGTATCATTGAAGTAACATGCTTTCATAATACGGACAAAGAGGGAGTTTGGATATTGTATGAGCCTTTAGGCCTGTTTTGCTAGGAGTGCATCATTGAATTTGCGAGGTCACGAAAGCCTAGGCCACCTTCTCTATTTCAGTATTATAATATTTTCTAAGCTATCCAAGGGTTTCCCCTTTGTTTAGAGCCCTTTTCTCACCTTCCTAGATAACTCTTTTGAGCAGTTTAAAACAAAACTTCGTGTAAATTGGCATAGCAAGAACTACAGATTTTAACATTATTTTTTTACTCGCTGGGGCAGAAATTTTGCACTCAACGTCGACATATGTCGTTTGACCCGCTCTATGATATATTCAAACATTTTTTCTTTTTTTCCGACCAAATTGTTCAAGAAAACCAATGTATTTTCCCCTTCCACAGTGATATGGTATCCCAAGAATATGTTTTAGATGATTTTGAATAATTCCATAAACTCTTGAGCCAAAAATTATTAATGATTTATTCGTGTTTATCTTTTGGCCTCAATTGTTTTGGTTGGTTAGGCAGAAAAATAATGAATCATCTGCAAATTGCAAATGTGTTATAGCCGGGACTCCATTTCCAATTAAGTATTGAAAGAGTTTGGTACACTAATATTTAATTAAGTAAAACATCAAATACAATTAAGAATGGTCATAGAACCTGTCTAATCAAATTAGTATCAAACATATTAATAAATGGTCACCGACCTCTCTGATCCCGTTTTAATATTATCTGTCGCCGTTCAATTATATTTTTATTTGGATCACATTTTTAATAAAAACAAACTGTGAATTAACTATTAACAAATATATTGTCATACCGGTTCTAATTGGTAACTTCATATCACTGAGATATGGGGACTACCACTTTAGTAACGCTTTTGATAAAGTTTTTATGATTGGTAACTTTCAAATCTGTACACTCTGTATCGGTTTTATAACAGGTTACCATTCAAACCCATTAAAAAAGTATCATTTTTTGTTTTTTGTTAGGGAAAATTCCCAAAAAAAACCTCAATTATTTTTTATTTGGACGTTTAATACCCAATTGTTTTCGGTTAGAAGAAAAATATACGTATTAATAAAACTGTGCGATTTAATATCTAAATAATTAAATGTCGTTATTTTCATACTCACGATCTCACAACAAAAATAAAATTCCAATTTTACCCTTACTATCTCAATTAATTATTAACTTTTAGATTACGTGACAATAGTTTTTTATTTAAATAAAAATTAATTTTATTAATATTTCATTTCTTTATTATCCCAAAAAAAATTCAAAAAAAATTCAAAAAAAATTTCAAAATAATTTGCAGTTTATTTTACAAATATTTAATTTTTAAAAATTAAAAATAAAATTAATTAGCAAAAAATTTAGAAAAAGTAAAAAAAAAAAATTAGCCATTTTTATGAATTGATAAATCTTGAGAGAGACGATGAGATTCGGATTGAGATTTTGTCGAAAATAGTTTCATTCGTGAAGGATTTATATTCGAATAGAGAGTTTCTCACGACGAAGAAAAAGTTCATATTGATGCTCGTTGATATCATATGCATCACGACGAATCAAATCAAATTAGTTTTATTGGCGATGAAGATTTTGGATAGGATTAAAAGGAGATTGTGAACGGTTATCGAATTAATTTGGTGGTTGCAAAAGAGGACGACAGAGATTGTTTACTGGTAATTCTCGTAGATATTAATCGAAAAAAATAGAATCGAAGAGGAAACGTCTCTTTGACATTGCAAAGACGGAATAAGATTGTACAAATGACTATTTTTAATATTTTTGATTTTCTGCTAATTTTTATGTTTAATTTAAAAAAAAAAAATTATATAAATTAAAAAAAAAAAATTTAGGCAACATAAAATAAAACATGAACAAAATTAATTTTTATTTAAATAAAAAAATAATACCACGTTATTTAAAAGTTAATAATTAATTAAGATGATAAGGGTAAAATTGGAATATTTTTTTGTTGTGAGTTCGTGAGTATGAAAATAACAACATTTAATTGTTTGGGTATTAAATCGCACAGTTTTATTAGTATGTGTATTTTTCTTCCAACCGAAAACAATTAGGTATTAAACGTCCAAATAAAAAATACATGAGATTTTTTTTGGGAATTTTCTCTTTTTTGTTACCGCTTTCTCTTATCACTATTTTGTACTACTTTAAACTATTTTGGTATTTCTTACCATGTCATATACTTACTAAATAACCTGTACCGTTTTGTGCCATCAATTAAAATCAATTAAATCCATCATCTCAATAATTTTCTTTAACCTATTTTTACTTCCTGAAAGTATAAACCATTTATTAAATTAATCAAGGAATGAAAATTACAGTAAGAAAACTTGGAAACGCCAGGCGTTGTTCCTGAAATTCATCATTGCAAATAAGATGCAATAGACTTGTTAAAGATAAAAAGAGAGTATTAAAGTTATTAACTCATATTAGGTTGTAATCAGTTACTTAATCAAATGTTAACTATATAACAACTACTATTAATATTGTAATATGTGGTCCATAGACTTTATTCTGTTAAGAGAATCATTACCATTATTATTGCACAAAGCTCATGATTAAGGAGCATTGC